GATGCGACAGTACTGGTGGTAAAAGAAACTCGGTCTCTCTCTCGTAGGAACAGGGCACAGAACACAAAATAAAAACATATATATACATATGGACATGGAAAAAAAACTTCCTACAGGGAGGGAAGAAAAAAACCTATGGGGTGTGCTAAACATCGTGGTCATAGGCAGCAAGCATCGATGGACATCACTGCACGCCTTCCTGCGTCTGGACAGATACTGCAACACAGGAGACATCGCTGAGGCTGAGCTGTGACGTAACAGGGTACGGTCTCCTCTGGAACGGTGAAGCAGTCATTGTAGGAGCCTCTGCAAGTTTTCACTCAACCTGGGGCACGACATGCTGGTGCCCTCGAGTGAGGCGCCGACAAAACTCGGCAACTGGGCAGGACTTCTTGCAAGTGACTAAGGAGGACACTTCTTGACTGGTACTGTCGCTGGGCTGTCACTGCCGGCGAGTGTGGAGCGAGTTGTGGAGCGAGTCGTGGCAGAGACGACTGGGCGAAACATCTGGAAGTCGTAACATCATACACCAGACTGCAGTGAGCGAGCTAGCAGTCAAAGTGACATCTTCATGCAGGCTGCTCACTGAAGTTTGTGACACGAGGCTGACACAGAGTCTGCTGACAGGGCTAACTGCGGCTTGACGAGCGTCATTCTCTCAGCAGTTGGAGTTATAGCAGAGGTTAGTCTAAGCATCCCCAGACTTGTTTCTCTACATATAACTGCACTTTGAAGGTCTGGAGGCGAAGTGAAACAAATCTCGATGGGAATCGTAGCAGGTACAATTCTGCAGAACATCATGAGCGATGAGCATAAAGGTTTCTGTACAAGAGGGCTCGGGCTCAGGGGCTGACTTGATATCACCTGTCAAACATGCTGGTCACACCAGGTGACTTAGCACAGTGGTGCTACTCAGGTCTGGCTCAGACCTCACTGGACACACGGAAACTACACACACCTGTGGCACATGCGGTACACTAACATGTGAGAACACTGACTGAGAGGAATTAATTAACACACGACATATATCTTCTGTCAATCTTCTCGACAATACTGAAATAATTACTAGAAACACTCGATGTGACATCATGTGATGTCGCGAGGTGACGTCAGCAGCACTGTGACGTCAGCAGACATTTCGAGGTGACGTCAGGCAGACATCATGACGTCATGAAGTCGGGCAGCATCGTCGGTGACGTCAATGTGATGTGGGCAGCAGACCACAGCATGTGGCCTGGGACATCTGGTAACTCACGTGGCTTGTAGATCCTCATGACATCGCCCACACCCACGTGGTGTCGTGATCTACATGGCATGCTGATCCACGTAGCTTCGAGTGGCCTCGGGCAATCGGATACACAGCTCTGGCAAAGAATTCACACGAAAAACAGCCAAAACACAGCAGAGGTAGTGGGCAGTGGTGAGTGGTGTGTGGTAGGCTGTAAGTGTGAGAGTACAGCAGGGTGAGGCAAGGAAGGGTCACTTCCTCCTCTCCCACAAACACGTGGAGAAACTCACACTGGAAGCAGAAATCACCACAAAACTCACCTCTGGCTTGCTGAAACAGCTGTGCTGAGCTAGCAACAATAGCACACATACAAGTGACAGCTGAACACGTGACTTGAGAAACAGCGTGGGACGCAGTAGCGTGGGGGTCACTGGGGACGCCACTTACAATTCTCGAAGAAATTCGGCAAATTTCGGCTAGATCCTGCTTGTACCTGTGTCTGGATGCTCAAACGTGCAGACACGACATTAGGATAACTCGTTGAGAGACGGATGCTTCTTGAATAGGGTGATAAAGTGAAGATGACTTCATCCCTTCCTTCCTCTCTCCGGGCAAACACAACTGCTGCAACCACCGCTTCCCACCATTTATAACCAGTTTGTTTGGTGTTCTGAAAGCGGGTGTGTGAATGGTAGACGTCTTTGGAGGCTTTTTACTTTATTGTTAAGTCGTGGTGGGTACACAGGCTTGTGTGTTGTGCCCATGGCCCGGGAGGGCCATGCCCACGAGGGAGAGAGAGTAGGCCTTCTTGACTGAGTGAAGGGTGTCGCCAGAGTGAAAGCGTGGCAAGAGCAGGCAGGATGGCGTGCCCACCGAGAGTCCTGGCTACAGAGGGCAGCATCTTAGTGCTGCAAAATATGAACTAAGCTGGCAGACAGCATAGGCTGTCTGTGCAGACAGTACAGGCTGTCTACACAAGGTTCCAGTCGCATCTGCTAGAAAAATGAAAGGATGGATAATGAGAACCTTCCAAAATAGGGATTCCAAGCCCATAATGACAGTCTTCAGTCGCTTGTTCTATCTGTTGGAATATTGCTGCACACTAACAGCACCTTTCAAGGGAGGTGAAATTTCTGACCTAGAAAATGTACAGAGAACCTTCACAGCACACATAACTGCGATAAAACTCCTCAATTACTGGGAATGCTTAAAGTTCCTCAACCTGTACTCCCTAGAATGCAGGCGGGAGAGACACATGGTTATATCCTCTTGGAAAATCGTAGAGGGATTAGTACCAAACTTGCACACGAAAATCACTCCCTATGAAAGCAAAAGACTCGGCAGACGATGCAACATCCTTCCAATGAAGAGCAGGGGTGCCACTAGCACGATAAGAGACAACATAGTAAGTGTCAGTGACCCAAGGCTGTTCAACTGCCTCCCAACATACATAAAAGGGATTATCAATAGACCCCTGGCTGTCTTCAAGAAGGCGCTGGACAGGCACCTAAAGTCAGTACCTGGCCAGCCGGGCTGTGGTTCGTACGTTGGGTTGCGTGCGGCCAACCGTAACAACCTGGTTGATCAGGCCCTGATCCATCATGATGCCGCGGGGCGTTGACCCTTGAAACCCTCTCCAGGTACACTCCAGGAATAATATTAAGAGAAAAGAAAATAATGGTACTGAATGTCATAGGAATGCAGCTAGAAGCCTGGACAGATATATCACTCACTATAAAATAAACATAGGTAAGTACGTTAATGGAACAACTTGAAATATAACTGATGGTATAGTGTCCTTCGTTGCAAGTACTTCTGGCAGTTCAGCAGAAAAACAGATGATCACACTAAATGTACAACTGTATGGCCGGCTCTGTGGTGACTTCCTTGAACACTGTGTGCTTGATTGTACACTTTCTGACGAATATAGATATAGTATAATAAACAATGTGTACTCAGGGTATCATATTAATGAAAACAAGATACCAGTCATATTAAGCACATTTCCTAATTTTTCCTGCAACACATAAGTTAACTGAAGATATAAATCCTATTTACCCTTTTGGGGCTTAGCTCCTAGACGTTTCATGAATCAATATGCTGTTACGTTAGCGTTCACAGGATGGATATGGGGTGCACAATAAACTAGCCACTTTGATGTTAAAATCTAGAAATCTGAATCTCAGTTGCTTTTGCTCCCTTTCATTATACCAACTGCCTCATGCACTTCCCCAGCTCTTCTTCACTTGTCCAAGATATTATACTTCCTTGTCCAATACATTAAATCACTGGAATTCATTCTTCATCAAATTTAACATCAAAAAATTCCCTTTATCTTCCCAGTATGTCCACCTCCCAGTCTTTCATCCTTTGTTTTTAACTGCCAAATCCATTTTCAGATTTTTTTTATCGAACACCAAAACGTCAACCTTATTCTCACTGGCTCTTTGTATTTCTTTACCAATTTTTATCTTCACTTTTACCTGAATATGTTCCACCTTATATTTAGCAAGTTTTCATTTTTACAAAATCTCTCATATGCTATCTTTTTCTCGCTTACCGCCCTCTTTTATCACGTCATTTCCTCAATCTCTCCTACTTCGTGCACTCATTCCCTCTATACCCATGAGCTTCTGCACACTCTTACACAACATTCTTAAATCTACTTCAAACGTCTTCAACCTTCTCTTCATTGCCAGTTTTCTCTAGCTCATCTTTCTTCTAATAGTTTCTTAGATTATTTCCCTAATTATCTCCTTTATTTTATTACTTTCACTTCACTCTTACCAGCTGATAATATTTATCTTGTAGCACATTTACCTCTCACTTTCTCTATAGACACCACTAAATAATAATTATCTGATATATTTGTCGTCCTCTAAAAACATGCATATCTAGAAATCCACCCATCAACCTTTCATTTACTGACACAGAGCTTATATCATATCTCTTATACTTATTTATCCACTTTTTCTAAAAATATTTTTATATTTTACCAAACCTGTTCCTAAACATAGTTCAATTAAAGGTCTTCTTCTCATTTACCCCTGACACATCAAACTCATATACTATGTAATTTAGCAGTTAGGTCGCCCTGGCGACCTAACTTTCTAAACCGTTTCCTCTTTTTCCTCTGTACATCTTTCCACTTAAGGGCGTATAAAAACTAACTATAACTCACTTCTTACATCCTACAGTTATTCTAATCCACATAATTCTTGAAAATAAATACCTATAACCCTTATTCTCCTTCTGTAGTTGTTCATTTAATTTCACCTCTATTTCTCGATTACCTATAGTTATTTCAGGTACACTATGTTACCCCAGTCACTTCCCTCATCTTGCTTAGAGCTTGGAGCTTCAGCTTTGTTATTCAATTCTTATTTTTTTCTTATTCTCATACATTTGACACCCATGTATTTGTAAACAGCCGAGCTTCAAAATTTTCTTCCGTTTCCTTGAAGTAATTTATAAAGGAGAAGTAGGTTACTAGTCTCTTACCCTTGGTGTTTTAGTCCCATTTATAATAAGCATTACTTAGAGAAGAAACATTCTACTCTATTTTATCATAAAGATGTAAGGAACAACTATAGGGATAAGAACTACTTAGAACTTAGAAAGGTTTTAAAATCGGACGAGGGAGAATACAGACTTTGACCTCTTTTATTTACATGGTTATTTTCATTAAACTGTTTTAGGTTACTCAACTAATTTTTTCCTTTCTCTAATATTATTAAAGTATTTAAAGTAAAATTAAATAATGATGACAAACCCGTTTGTAGAGAAGAGGTTTTTAAAGTGATAAGCAGCGTTGATGTAGGAAGCCATACAAAGTCTTAGCATTGAGGAGTCCTCACAGTGGAGAAGGAAGGCGCCATTGATCACATTGAGAAAGAGATGAAGGTCAGTGGTGTAGGTGAGGTTGCCAGCCATGCCTTCAAACATTCTAGTAACCAGCTGCACCCACATGTACTTGTGCAGCTGATCAAGTCCTCGTACCTCCTAAACACAAAAAAAATATAAATTAATTTGCAACTATAATATTTTGAGAGGAGTATTGAGGCTCGATCCTGAATATGTTAATGTTAAAACAAACACTGCATGTCTCTACTCAACATTTTAAATGAATATTCATTCATATGACCTATGAGCTTATTTCAAATAAAGAAAACAGCATTACACACACCAACATAACTGATTGCAACAGTAAACTCAACATTAATCATCACATAATATCTAAAAAAAATAATAAATAATTAACTGGGTATTCCATTAATAATTTCGGTCTACTATATAATCCGTAGAAAATCTTTAATCAAACAATTGCTTGCAGTTTCACTAAATATACCAATCACTGAGATGTGATTTTTATTTTTCTAACCACATTATCAATGAAGTATAATCCTGAGACACTGACCAACATAGATTATTTTGTGTCAACAATCAAAGTAATTTAAGTGTCACTCAACATGAATTTGTGTACATTCAACATCAGTATGTGTCATTCAACATGTTATGTTGTGTCACTCTAATAGATGTTGTTGTGTCACTCAACATTAGTGTTTCAACATGCTTGTGTCATCACATAGATGTTGTTGTGTCACTCAACATAGATGTATGTTGTGTCACTCAACATAGATGTTTAATGTTGTTGTCACTCAACATAGAATGTTTGTGGTCACTCAACATAGATGTATGTTGTGTCATCAACATAGAGTGTATGTTGTGTCACTCAACATAGATGTGTGTTGTGTCATTCAACATAGATGTATGTTGTGTCACTCAACATAGATGGTATGTTTGTGTTGTGTCACTCAACATAGATGTATGTTGTGTCATCAACATAGATGTATGTTGTGTCACTCAACATAGATGTATGTTGTGTCACTCAACATAGATGTATGTTGTGTCACTCAACATAGATGTATGTTGTGTCACTCAACATAGATGTATGTTGTGTCACTCAACATAGATGTATGTTGTGTCACTCAACATAGATGTTGTGTCACTCAACATAGATGTATGTTGTGTCACTCAACATAGATGTATGTTGTGTCACTCAACATAGATGTATGTTGTGTCACTCAACATAGATGTATGTTGTGTCACTCAACATAGATGTATGTTGTGTCACTCAACATAGATGTATGGTTATTTGTAGGAAAGCAAAGAAATATGGCGCAGGATAAATTATGGGAAGAGTGATAATGATGAGTTTTGGGAATAACAGTCATAGGCAGAATGAGGTATGATTATTGATGAATATTGTTAAGCCAGTGTCGGCAGGTGGTGCAACATTTCTGCAATTAAAAGCAATCCAATGGACAAGCAGTCTAAAAAAAGTCATAATGGGCTTGGCATCCCTAGTTTTGAAGATTCTCATTGTCCAGCATGCCATTTTTCTAGTAGATGCAGTAGATACATTGTTGTGATCTTTGAAAATGAGATCCTCTGACATTATCACTCCCAGGTTCTTCACATTAGTTTCTCGCTCTATTGTGTGGTTGGAATTCGTTTTATGCTCTGTTATAGTTTTAATTTCACCAAGTTTTCCATATCGGAGTAATTGAATTGGACAGTGACAGGGACAGTCGCGCGCGGTTGTGCTCCGTCAAAAATTGCGTGTCTTGATAGTAGCAGAGGGAACAGAATGCGGGAAATAAGCGTGTGCAACCATAAAGTGCATATACTCCTTTGAACAAACAAAAAAGGAATATCAGTGAACACTAAATAGGAAAATATGGATTATAGTGTCACATGGAGAGTGCCGGTGGAGGAACGGTTACCGTGGGAAATAGACCTGACCAGCACTAGTGAATTATTGCCGGATGTCGACACAAGTGGAAATAAACAAATATTGATCTATCTATAAGTAATATAGTGAGTGACAAGGATATATATGTGCAGTGACATAGTGAACTAAATTGTAGATAAGAGTAATCTTAATTATCCCCCAGTATAGCGTACAATATGTAGTGTAGATTGGGGAATATCTTACAAGTGACTGGCACTAGCGAACTATTTCCAGAGGTCCAGTGAAGTGTTAATAACGGATGAGTAATTACTATAGTCATAAGAGACAAAACGAGTGGTGGTAGCATTGAGGTGCAGAGAATCACAGCATACATAAATTGAGCATACAACCGTTACCCCGTAGGGGAAAGTTAGCGTAGGCCTAGCTGCTGTGTAAATAATAAAACAATGATCCCAGTATAGCGCAGTGAAAAGTGCATTTTGAAAGAATACAGTGTATATCCTTGAGATAAACAGTGTACAGCACTACATAAAAGGAATTTAAATAATAATAATAATAATAATAATAATAATAATAATAATAATAATAAAAATAATAATAATAATAATAATAATAAAATAAAAATAATAGTGAAGTGTGGCAGTGTGGGGTAAGTCCTGCCGGCTCACACCACCTAAACCCACCACCCACCCTACAACCACCACCCACATACTGCAAACTTGGTTCGTATAAATACATCTTGTCATATTACTGACACCAGCAAGAGAAAGGTAAAGTGGAAACAGTTTTCCTTCCTTGGCATACAGAGTGTAGTAGGATACAGACAGAGTCAGCACAGCATATCTGTGGGACATGTAAAAAAATCCTTGGAAGGAAATCCAGAATCCATAGCAATACTATACTCTTCCAAACACCATATTCTATACTAAACTAAATACAGCCTCAAAAAATGACCTGGAACTAGCAAGGTGCTTCTGGTTGTGCAATAAAGATTAGAACTTTGGGCAGGTATCAGAAGGTACTAAGGGAGTAATAAATGATAAAAATAATCAGAAAACAAGGATGACCATCTTGGATAGTCTACCAAAAATATATAAACATAGGAGCAAGAGATAGTTGTAAAAAAAATGCAGATGTCCATACCACAACAGATGACTCGAAACTATCTAGTCATCCACATAGTGCTAAGCCAGACCCATCCCCCAGTCATAGCACTAATACCTACAGTGCTGGTGCTGGCCCAGGCTCAGCCCCAGCCCATTGCTGACTCAGACCTAGCCCCAAGCCTTACTGCCAGCCCAAACTCTACTAGGGACCCTACCATAACCACCACTAAAATCGTAAATATACAACCATCATTGCACAAGACCGTTACCCCAGTACAGATGTTGGAGGAGTCTCCTCCTCCTTCTTCTGCTGGGAAGTAGATGGAATCCAGGACGGGGTGGCCTGGCTTGGATACTGAGGATTATAGTGCAGTCCCAGAAACCTGCAGAAATGACAACACACCTCCCAACAATTCTCAACCAAATGTGAATTTTGTGCAAATATTATGCTTGGGCATCTGTAAGCATGGAATATCAGGAACAAAAATGGCACATGCAACTTTGAGTATCCCCAAAAATGAAGCGACCTCCTGTCTTAAGGAGTGTGTCGTTCTTCTTCCTGTACTTTCTTTCACCCAAAAATGTGTCACTCGTCGGTCCTCCAGAAGCAGTGTTACAACATTGACTGCCCTGCATAACCATCTAAAAGGGACCTGGAGGCACAGACCCCACAAGACAAACAATAGCAGCTACGACAACCCAACTCCAGGTGATTTTTTAGTAGCAGGAAACGGAAAAAGAAAATGGAAGGAAATAACAAAAATAGTCCACCACCTTGGAGCCTTGTTGGACTGGAGGTGCAGCCAGTGGCCACCCATGGCCCTCCAGAATTACAACTACTGATGCCAATAACAAAATCCCCCCAACAAACACAGAATACAACCTCGTTCATATTTGCTAATATACAGGGCCTTAAGCCATCCACCAACAACAAAATACCTTTTATCAGTGGACTTCTAGAGGAGTCTAATGCAGTGTTTGCAGCCTTCACAGAGACTCACACAAAAGATCACTTTGACAGTGAAATATGGATAAGTGGTTACAACCTTTTTAGATGCGACAGAAAGAACAGGCAACAAGGGGGGGGGTTGGCCTGTATGTCAAAGAGTCCCTCATCTGCACGGAGTTGCTGAACACCACAAATGAGGTAGTTGAAGTTCTATCAATAAAGATCGGGAACCAAAACCTGGTCATTGTGGTTGTATATAAGCCACCAGATGCAACCTCACAACAGTTCAAGGAACAGCTACTGAAAATTGATTACTGTTTGGAAAACCTTCCAGCTCCATCTCCAAACATCTTACTGCTTGGTGATTTCAACCTAAGGTATACAAAATGGAAGAATGTAGCAAATAATGTTATAGCTGAAACAATCCCCGGAGGTAGCGCAGATTGAAAGGTCACACACACATGAGCTACTAAGTCTCTGCGAAAAACACACCTTAAGCCACCAGATAAGTGGAGCCAAACAAGACTAGAAAACACACTTGACCTTATCTTCACAAATATATGAGGACCTGATAAGAGACATAAGAATATCAAAACAACAAATTCCGATCACAACCTAAAGAAATCCAGACATACATGCATAGGGGTCCTGATCAGCAGAATGCATGTACCGGTGAAGGTGTCTTCACAAAATACAACTTCAACAACAAGAACATCAACTGGGACCAGGTAAAACCATGTCCTAAACGAAACATGTTGGGAAGATGTCTTAAATGACATGGATCCAAACCAGTGCCTTGAAAGGATCAACTTCCTGGCAGCCGAAGCATGTTCTAGGCATATTCCCCTAAGAAAGAAGAAGAGCATGAGTAAACTGGAGAGAGAAGACGCTCCCTCTACAGAAGACGACGAAGAGTCACTGAGCTCCTCAGGAGTGCTAGAATATCTGATACACGAAAGGAGGCGCTGACCAGGGAAGTGGAAACTATCAAACTTAAGTTAAATGACTCTTACAGGAACCAGGAGAGGCAGGAGGAGCTTAAAGCTATTAGTGAAATTGAAAGAAATTCAAAATATTTCTTTTCATATGCCAAAAACAAGGCAAATACCACATCTAGTATCGGGCCCTTACTCAGACAGGATGGACTTACACAGATGACAACAAGGAAATGAGTGAAATATTGAAATC